GTCCTGCCCTCATCATCTTTAAAAGTGGCTAGTTCTTTATATGGCTTTGATATTTCGCACTGGTGGCAAATATCACGTTCTATTATTAGGCTTGTCATATGCTTTATTTTTAGTTGCTGGCATCAGGTAAATTTTTAACATAGTTATTTCAGTCCTCATTCGCTTTTTATCAATGTCGGCATGATAAGGTTTACCCCTAATCATTTGGTCGCAGTCTTTGTATCCAAATGTCAAATCACTCCTGCGTAAAGGTAATAATGTACATTTTTCTAAGACAATTTAATTACTTTTTAACCTTGAATGGAGGAGTATTAATTAATTTCTATCTTTTTCACTGAATAAAAGAGCAAAGATATTATCCTTTATTATTACTTTTCAAAAGTTCTCTTAAACTGCCAGTTCCAAAACTAACTTTTCCTGTCTCTTTCATGCGGACTTTGCCTTTTTTTTGTTTGGCTCATAGTTTCATTTTTCGGTCTAAGGACCCTCCGCCATGGATTCTGGATATAACATTTTTTTTCAAAGCAGATAAAGTTTCCCGAGCGATTACTTGATTGCCGATACAGGCTTGGATTGGCACCGTAAAAGTTTGCTGATTAAGGGTTTTTTTTAGGCTTTCACAAATTAATTTGGCTCGTCCATGAGCAAAATTACGATGAACTAAAAAAGACAAATCTGGGATTAATTGATTGTTCAACAAAATGTCTATTTTGACAATATCACTGGGTTGAAAGCCGATTATTTGGTAATTAAAAGAGGCATAACCATGAGAGATTGATTTTATTTTATCGTGAAAATCGAGAATAAATTCAGCAAAAGGCAAGTGATAAGTTAATTGATAAAGTGAACCAGTTTTTCATCCTTGCGACTGAAAAATACCTCGTTTATTTTGGCACAATTGGGAAATGTCTCCTAAATGCTCCTGGGGTGTCGTAATTTCCAAATTAATAATTAACTCTTCAATATTTTTAATTTTGTCCTTAGTCGGTATTTTCTGGGGGTTATTAGTTTCCAAAATCTCACCATTAGAAAAAATAACTCGGTAAGTAATGCTGGGTGGAGTGGTAATGATTTCGCAATTGAATTCCTTTTGTAGTCTTTCGCAAATGATTTCCCGATGCAATAAACCCAAAAAACCACAACGGAAGCCAGGGCCAAGTAGTTGGGAGTCAATTGCCTCTAAACTTAAACTGCTATCTTGGATTTGTAATTCTTCCAAAGATTTTTTAAACTCTTTATAATGAGAACTATCACTGGGGTATAAATTAGAGTAAACATTAGGATTTATTTCTTGATAACCTTCTAAGGGCGAAATATGGTTGTCTATTTCAAATACTGTATCACCAACTTTTACTTCTCTCATGTCCCGAACATTAGCAGTAAATCAACCAATTTCTCCTGCAATTAACTTGTCTTTTAAGGTCTCTTTCGGGGTTTTTACTCCCACTCTTTCGACTTGATAAACTTTTTGTTGATTAGTATAGAACTTAATTTTTTGTCCTTTGGTCAATTCTCCTTCAAAAATACGGACATAAATAATAACCCCATAATAGCGGTTATAAAGCAGATCAAAAATTAAGGCTTTTAATGGTTCTTGTTTCATTTTTATTTTTAATATGTTTTTTTTCTCTTTTTCACCACCAGAAAGCCAATAGTTAATACTAAAACGACCAAAATTACTATCACTCCGCCAATTATTATTTTCTGGTGTGTAGAATCATTATTATGCTGATTCGGAGATGGGGGATTATTGCTTGGCCGGTCGGGATTATGGTTGACCAGTTTTTCCTGCAAACTATCTACATCAAATTCGTTCGAACCGGAGAAAGTTAAAACACTGTCGCTCTTATTATCAATATCACCTATGTTTCAAAACCTAACTTTCATAGTAAAAGTTTTGCCCACGCTCTCAGTTAACAATTTACTGTTATACAATTTAGTTTTCATTAATGAATCGGGGGTGCTTTCGAGGGACTGGCCATAGCCGAAAGAAAAAATAATTTTCGAAATTTCTGGCAATCCCTCAATCCCCAGGGAAAAAGGCTCAATTTCTAGTTCTTGTCGATAAGTCCCCGGAGCAGATTCTTTAATTTTCTTTTGGTTCAGCACCTTAAAAGTAATAATTTGGAAAGAACCAAGTTCCTTTTCAGTTATTTTTTTCACCCGGTTGGTATTTTTAACCAAAAAGGCATCTTGGATGGGGGAGCCTTTTTTTAGAAAAGAAGGGCAAAATTTCAAATCCGAAAAAGGAATGGTGAAAAAATCGCCACCGTCTGGGTTATTGATAATGCTATTAGTTAAAATTGAATTATCGCCGGGAACCAGTAAGTGAGGAAATGGATGGTTGAGAGGAGCGAAACCACTCCTGATATAACTACAACATAAATGTTTGTGTCCTCCTATGAAATGAGTTTTTCCTACCGTGGATTCATTAGTCTGAAAGGAAAGGCTAAGATGGTTATTCATAATACTTAATTTTTAGCAAGGGGGCGGAATATCACTAATAATTTTTTCCAGCAACAAATCAATATTTTTGCCAGTTTTAGCCGAAATTAAACAAATATCACTCCCCTGACAATTAAGTAGTTCAATAAGTTGGTTTTTAATGGTCTCTAATTGAGCGTGTGGTAAGTCAATTTTATTAATTACCGGCAGAATTTTCAAGTTAAGTTTTTTAGCAATTTCGTAATAAGCGAGAGTTTGAGCTTGAATACCTTTTACCGCATCCACCAATAATATTACTCCTTCGCAAGCGGCCAAGGAACGGGAAACCTCATACATAAAATCCACATGCCCGGGTGTATCAATTAAATTAAAAATGTAAGGTTCGGAGCTTTCCGGAGGATAGTATAATTGAACCGCATTTAGTTTAATGGTAATGCCTTTTTCCTGTTCTAAGGAAAGGCTATCCAGTATTCTTTCAAAAGATTTATTGCTGTTTTTTAAGTTGGTTTTTTCTAATAAACGGTCCGCTAAGGTTGATTTACCATGGTCGATATGAGCAATAATCGAAAAATTACGGATTTTGTGCGGAGTTATTTTTTTTTGATTTTCATCCATTTGGGTCATGTAGAAATTTTAATAATGGTAGAGAGTAACGAGGTAAAAAAGATATATAAAATTTTCTTTATACAATGGAGGGAAAGGTAGATTTAAATAATTTATTATCGGTTTGAAAAAAATTCGCTACGCAGCATAATATTATTTGAAAAGATTCTTTTTTACAATGAGAATTGCCCGCCAATATCTCGGCCGACTTTGCTCTGATTTTGGCTTTGCCAATTTCTTATAAAACCAAAAACCCCCCCCAAGAAATCGCCCAAGAAATAATAAAAATATCTGCTTATTCCAACTTATCATGGGACACTACCAATCAAGGTTATATTAATTTTCGTTTTCCCTTAACTTTTTATCAACAATTTCTTAATGAGACATTAAAGAAAGAAGGGCAAAATCTCTATGGGGAAAGAAAAAATGTTCGGGTAAATATTGAGTATGTTTCGGCTAATCCGACTGGTTATTTGCATTTAGCACATTTTCGTCATGCTTTTATTGGTGACGCTTTGGCTAATGTTTATCAATTTTGTGGTTATGAAGTAGCAAGAGAATATTATGTTAATGACCGCGGGGGACAAATCACTTCTCTGGTTTATTCTATTTATCTCCTTTATTGTCAGCAGTGGGTGAAAAATGTTACTGATAAAATAGGAGGGACAAAAAGCGAGTATGTTTTGAATAGAGCGAGCCAAGAAATAGCAAAAAAACTGGTGGAGGAATGGGGCGATAAATACCTTAATGAGGAACTAAAGGGAGAAGTTTTTGATGCTTGAAAAAAAGAAATTTTAAAATTAATGTTAACCAAAATTCGGCAAGACTTAGAAAGGTGCGGAATTAAATTTGATATTTGGTTTTCAGAAGCCAGTTTATATGAAGAAAACAAACACAGAGATTTAATTCAAAAGTTAGAAAAAAAAGACTTAATTTTTAATCGAGAAGAAGCAATTTTTTTCCGGAGCAGTTTAGGTGGAGATGACAAGGATCGCGTAATCATTAAGCAAGATGTCGATTATACTTATTTTTTTTCGGACATCCTTTATCATCAAGAAAAAGCCAAAAGAGCCAGTAAATTGATTAATGTTTGAGGAGCTGACCACCATGGAACTATTGCGAGATTGAAAAGTGCCTGGCAATTGTTAGGATATGAGCCAGAAAGATTACAAACAATTTTGGTCCAAATGGTTAGTTTGCTTACCAAAGGAGGTCAAACTGCAAGGTTTTCCAAAAGAGCGGGGAATACTATTGAATTAGACGAAGCCTTGCGATACATGGATATGGATCAATTAAAGTTTTTTTTACTGGAAAAAGAACCTAATCAGCCCTTTTCTATTAATACCGAATTACTAAGAGAAAATAAAGAAAAAACTCGCCTTTATTATATCCAGTATGCCCATGCTCGCTGCCACCAAATATTTCAAAAAGCCCAAGAGAAAGGTATAGACAAAATTAGTTCAAACATTGATTTGCTAAAAGAACAAAAAGAGAGAAGAATATTTAACTTGTTGATTCGTTTTCCTTTGGTTTTGGAAAGCATTATCGAAGAAAATAAACCCCACCCTTTAATTAATTATTTATATGAGTTGTCCCGGGTTTGACAAGTCTACTACCAAAACAGCGTTATTTTAGAGCCAGAAAATCCTAAATTAACCAGTCAAAAACTCTTACTAGTGAAAAATATTCAAATAATTTTAAACTTAGGACTTGGACTGATAGGGATCGAAGCACCCAAAAGAATGTAAACTACAAAAAAAGTTGGGAGAATAATCCTCTTCCCCACTCTAATAAGTGTTTTGGTTGAAAATATTGGTTCGACGAAGCACTTATTACAACCTATTCCTTTAAAATTAAATTAAACAGTATAATTTTTATTTATTTTTAAACCTCCACAATTTCTAACTCGCGATTGAATTCATTAATGAAATAAGTAAGTCCTTCATCTGTTTTTTTGTCTATTTTCCCATAACGGATAATAAACCATTTATCTTTTTGTAGTTTTCTTTGACTTAATAACTCTTTAATTCTTGGATGTTTTTTGCTAATTTGAAAGACTTTTATATCCTCTTTTGTATTTGCGTTAAGTCAATTGCTAAACATGCAAAAATCTTTTGTTTCTTCAACATTAGCACTAAGTAAAACTTTTTCTTTCCTTTTTGCTATTTGAATCGTCTGGTCAATCATCAAAAGCACCTAATTCCAAATTAGTATTATCCTGGTCAAAATAGAAAGTTTTATCTCCTTCTTGCCTTGAAGCATTTTTTTTCTTAAATCTAATACTAAAAGGAGGAGTATCGTCTGAGTTATCCAACTTTTTACCTTTTATAAGAGGATGATCTTTGGCAATGTAGACTTTAAACTTATTATTCATATCACTCTCAAACAATTGATAACCACTTTTGTCCGAAATACTTCATTTTCAAATTGTTGATATTAAGTTATCAGAATTAGGATTTTGGTCGGGCTTATCGTTGGGCGGACCATCTTTCGGCTTATCATTTTTATTCGGCTTGTCGTGGTTGGGTTTATCATCACCCTCCATTTTTTTCCTAATCTCTTTAATTTCCTGTTCCAGTTTTTTAATGGTAGACTGTGAAGGAGAATTATCTTGACTTGAAAGATTTTTATCTGACTTTCTATCTCGGTTAACTTATTCTCTAACTGAGTTTTTTGGGTGTTGTCAGAAAAATTACTAAATTTACTTTTGAGCGAACTTAACTCAGTTTGTAATTGTTGGATTTCTACCTTTGAATTAGTTTGTTTTTTGTTTTACAACCAACTTCTTTTTGGATCAAACAAAAAAAGCAATCGTCCCAATGACCACCACCAATATTAGCCCGTTAACTATTAAAATTATTGTTTTTTTTTTTTTTTTTTCAAATTCATGACTAATTATATTATCTAAATACTGGTGGATCCAGTCGGTTTCGAACCGACCGCCTTCTGTGTGCAAAACAGATGCTCTACCAAATGAGCTATGGACCCGCACTCCATATATTAAATTATAAGGAATTAAGGAGTGTCCTTTTGAGAATTAAGTTATTTTTTTCTTTTTTTAAGCCTAGTTTTAATAATAAGGACAACCAGAAATATTACTAATAAAATCCCTCCTCCGCCCAAGGAAAAAAATAGTGCTTTGTTTGAGGGATTGGATTTATTCAAATTAGCATCATTTTGGCCTTTAATTGCTTTTTCTTGCTGTTTTTCTTTGATTTTTCTTTCTAGAAGTTGGGTAAATTCGGCTATTTCCTGGCTAGTTTTTAATTCTTTTAAATACTCTTCCCAATTACTTTTATTTTTTCATAAACTCTTATCTATTTCGCTTGGTTTAATCCTACTTTTGTTAAATAACTGCTGGATTTGTTGCTGAGCCACTTGTTGGGCTTGTTCGGGGGTTTCGGCATTATTTATTTCCTCAACATTAATGGGGGAAGTATCGGCGGTAGGTTCCGAAGGCTCGGAATTAGCAGAGTTTTGGGAGGGAGAATTACCGTTATTTTCTCCATCTGAGTTATTATTATCTTCTGGACTTGGAGCCGAACCATTATTGTTAGTTGGTGAATGGCTCCCATTTTCCTTCGGTTGATTAGGTTCAGGAGGATTATTATCATCTTCGTTATGGTTTGGGTCCGGTGAATTGGAGCCATTATTGGAAGGAGTAGGATGGGAAGGGCCGGTTGGCTGCTCTCTTGGTGGTGGGTTTGGATTAGGGTTGGAGCCTTGATTTGCTGCTAACTCGGTCCTTGTTTCCATTAATATTACACCTAACCAGTTTTGTCCTGCACCATAACTCTTACCTCAATATGTATCACTTCTGCCTCCGGTTTCTTCTATTAATTCCGCATCTTCCGTATCTATTAATTTTTTTTGAAGTTCTGGATGCTGTGCAAATTTTTCTCTTACTACCCACCGCATTGCATTCAACTTATATTCTCCTGCGTGTCAATCGCTTCTCACAGGAGGCACCGTCCCATTACTTCCCCGAGTAAAACCTTGTGCTTGACCCGGATCCCCTAACTTTTGAATTTGTAGTGCTAAATTAAGTTGGCTTCCATCAGCCTGGCTATATTTAAGAGCTTGAAAAAGATGCTCACTGGTTGCCCATTTTAATTCACCTGTTAGAAAAACTGAGTCTGCCGCTATTTTTCCTTCACTTGTCAATTTACTTGGTAAGCGGGACTTGATTGGATAACCGGTTTGGAAATTTGTAAGTCAGAAATTTCCGTCTGCTGGTTTGTTAAAATTTATTGTTGTTTTTGCCATTTTATTACTATATTATTTATTTTATATATTATGTTATGTATAATCAAAAAAATTAATGTTATATTTCCCTTTCTTTCAACTTTTTAGCAATCAACAAACTATAAAATTACTCCACCAACCCCACAAAAAAATAATTGCTAATTACCATTTAAACCCCTTTTTATTATAAGAATTAGTTTCATTTTAATAATTATTTCTCCAATTAAGTAGCAAAAGATATAAATTAGTGTTCGCCAAACGAACTTTCAAAACTAGACAGAACCTTTTTATAAATATTT